AGTTTAAAAGGAGGAACTTGGCCTCTTCTCCACAGAGACTATGGCAAACATGACAATTATCTCTGGGGCTGTGTGACCTGAAAGTTTAAGTAGGTCCTAGTCGGATAATTTAGGTTAATCCATATCTTAGTCTATTTGGAGTGCTCTAACAAAAGACCATAGACTGAGTGGTTTAAACAGCAGAGATTTCTTTCTCACAGTTCTGGAGGCTAGAGGTCCAAGATCAAGCTGCTGGCCAACTTAGGTGGCCAGCGAGGCTCCCCCCTGCCTTGCGGATGGCCGCCTTCTCGCTGTATTCTCAGTGAGTGTGGGAGGAGAGAGTCAGGGCTCTCTCAGGTCTTTTCTTATAAGGGCACTAACCCCATCATGGGGGCTCCACCCTCATGACCTCATCACCTCCCAAAAGCCCCACCCCCCAGTACCACCATACTGGGCGGTTAAAGGCTTCAGCATACGGATTTGGGGAGGACACAGATATTCAGTCCATAATAATCCACATATGATAGACCCAAGTGGAGCAATTAAGAGGATTTCAGGAAACAGGCTATCTTTCTAAGCGTAATAGCATGAACTTTTATGAGGTAGGAATTATCGTCATCCCCATCTCACAGGGGACGACCCTCCAGGACAAAGAGATGAGGAACTTTCCCAAGACACACAGAGAACAAGTGACAAAGTCAGGATTTGAACTATGTGGGCCCAGGGTCCTCTATGCTCAATGCATAATGATGCACTGTGATGCTGCCCAGAATGGGAGGGTACCCTGGGTACCTGGAAGCTGCTCCTTTGGCTGCAGGCGAAGCTTTGATGCCAGGCCAGGAAGCAGGTGGTTTGGACCACTGTGGAAATACTTACATTTTTAAGCTGTCTGTCAAAATTCAGTGACCCTACCAGAATCTAATTCTCACCTCGAAGGGATAGGAAGACATAAAATACTATATTTAATTCAAGTTAAAATCCACACTATCATTAAAAAAAAATCCATCTTCTGTCCATATTCCCTTCCTTTCCAAAGGTTTGGTATAGTCAACATCTACAGAGACAGAACAATCTATTCTCATTTCTCAGGCTGCAGGCTCTTCTCTGAGACCAGAAAGAGACCATTTTCAGTGTCCTCTGCCAGCCCCCTCGGTAGTCCTTGTGGGAGAAAGGAAAGCCAGATACAATGTGCTGTCAACCCTTATTACTTTGCCATAAATGAACCATGTATCCCTTGAGAAGTGGTTTCCACCTTGGCCACCCAAAGCCCTGGCCCTTTTCCACTACAATAACCAGGTCCAGTTTCCACAGGGCTGAGCCCTGGGCAGGGAGAAGTGACGTGTGGTCACATCACACGGGAAGGAGGTGTGGTCAAGAAAAGGCCAAGTGTGTGCTTGTCAGGACATCCCTTAATGGCGATCAGCCATCCCACGGCCATCCCAGGCTCTTCTGCAGAGACCAGCAGACCAGGTGCTGGAGCCTTCGTGCAGATGAGCATGCTGCTGGCCTGGGGTCTGGAGAGGCGTTGAGAAGAAGCGGAGAGGTCACTGGAGGCCTACAGAATCACACTGTTCTGAGTTCCTTGCCAAGCAGGAAGCAGGTCAACAGGCCCTGGGGTGGGCTGGGCTGGAGGGACAGAGCAGCACTGGCCCCAGTGCCGGGTGGGTGGGTAAAGGACCCTCACTAGGACGGCTGCTCCCCTGTAACAGTGCTGGCCATGGTGATGGGTCTGCTGGGACCTGTCTCAGCATAGCATATGCTTCACTGGCGCAGTCCCTTTGGTTTACATTCAGCCAGTGAGCAGTTTTTGAGCCCCTGCTTCGTGCCAGCATCTGGCTACAAAGGCAGAGGCAAAAGACAAAGTGCCCACCATCCAGGACTGCACAGGTTCGTGGGAATCGGCCCCTCCTTGGGGAGGGAGCGGGTGCAGCCTCAGCAGGCTTTACACTTTGGGTGACTGTGGCGGAGAGGGAGATGGTACTCTCTTCTGGACCCTGACAAACTTCCATTTGAAAATCCGTGCTGTTAAGGATGCCCCTCGGCGCCTGTGAGCCATGCTGACCTCTCTGTCTCCTCCTGAGCACCGTTTTCCAGGGATGGGCTGAGTTGCCCTAGGTGCCCCTCTAAGGATGGGTGCAAAGCCCTGTGCTGTCCAGGACAGCAGCCACTGGCCACACGTGGTGGCTGAAAATTTAAACTAAGTAAAATTTAACTTCGGCCCCTCAGTTACCTTAGCCATCTTTCAAGGGCTCGGAGCCAGCAGTGCTGGTGGCTGCCATATTGGAGGGGGTGGACACAGAGCCCTTGGCTGCTCCTGGAAGTTCTATTGGATATTCTTCCTGCACAGATCATTGCAACAGAGAGTGGCACATGCTGGGTGAGTGTGGTGAGTGTGGTACATGTGGGTGAGTACACGAGGCCAGACCTCACCTTGACCTCACCTTAACCTCACCTTGACCTCACCTTGCCCAGGTCTGAGGACCCTTTCTTCTCTTTGCATGTATCTCCCCAGTGTCTTCTCATCCACTCTGTGGCTTCATTTGCCATCTTCTTCAGAGATGTTCAGCCTAGTCTGTGTTTGCACCACCCAGTGGATCTCAAATTGCAGTAGAACCCCCTGGAGGCCTTGTTAAAAGACAGATGCCTGGGTGAGGGGAGGGTATAGCTCAGTGGTAGAGTGCATGCTTAACATGCACGAGGTCCTAGTTTCAATCCCCAGTCCCTTCATTAAAAAAATAAATAAGTAAGTAAAATAAATAAATAAATTTAATTACCCCCCCTCCAAAAAAAAAAAGAAAAGAAAGATGCTTGCGTGGGGAGGGTATAAGCCAGTGGTAGAGTGCGTGCTTAGCATGCAAGAAGTCTTAGGTTCAATCCCCAGTACGTTCATTAAAACAAATAAATAAATAATCTAATTACCTCCCCCTAAAAAAAAATTATTAATAAAAAAAGGCAAATGCCTGGCTTTCACCCCTAGTTTCTGATCAATAGGACTGGGGTAAGGCCAGAGAAGTTGCATTTCTAACAAATTTCAGGGTGACATTGATGCTTCTGGTCTGGGGACCACACTTCGAAAACCATTGATAGGGTCCAAAGAATCATATTCACGGATTCATTCATTCAACAAATATTCGTATAATGTCACCACATGCCAGGTGCTCTTTCTGATGTGAACAGCCAGGTCAGGTCCCGTTCAGGGAGGAGAGACAGATGGTAAAGAAACCCGTGCTGGGTGGTGATGAACGTTAGTAAGAAGGATAAAGCGGGGTAAGGGGAGAGGCCTCACGGACAGGTGACACTTGAGTGGAGACCTAAAGAAAGTGGAGAGAAAGTGTGACTCTGGCCTTTCTGACCCTCTTTTTGCTCTGTCCTCAGCTTTTTAATCTGAAAGATGAAGGGAGAGGGTATAGCTCAGTGGTAGAGGGTACACTTAGCATGTGTGAGGTCCTGGGTTCAATCCCCAGTACCTCCATCAAAAAAAAAAAATACTACAAAAAAAGTAAAAATTTTTCAATTAAAAAAAAGAATGAAAAATGAGAGTCATGTTAAAAATCAAGGGCTTCAGTCTACTCAATAGCAAGATTTTGAAGACAAATTTGATTGTCTTCATATGCATTTCATTACAAAAAAGCATGAGGCTAAAGGCCATAGATTTGACTCCAGCCTGCATTTCTACCTTTGAGTCCCAGCAACTGAGCAGTGTGAAGAGCCCCTAGGAATATACAAACAGCTCAACAACTCAGTAACATCAGCAACGACAAACCCCAACCCACTGAAAAAAATGAGCAGGAGACCTAAACAGACGTTTCTCCAATGAAGACATACAGGTGGTCAAAAGGCACATGAAAACATGCTCCACATTTGAAAAGATACACGCACTCCAGTGTTGACAGCAGCACTATTTACAATAGCCAAGACATGGAAGCAACCTAAATGTCCACTGACAAATGACTAGGTAAAGAAGATGTGGTATGTTTATACAACGGAATACTACTTAGCCATAAAAAAGAATGAAATAATGCCATTTGCAACATGGATGGACCTAGAGATTATCATGCTAAGTGAAGTAGGTCAGATAAAGACAAATATTATATGATATCCACTTATATGTGGAATCTAAAAAAGTGACACTAATGATCTTATTTATAAAACAGAAACAGACTCACTGACAGAAAACAAACTTATGGTCACCAAAGGGGAACGGGGGAGGGATAAATTGGGAGTTTGAGATTTGCAGATACTAAGTACTATGCATAAAATAGGTAAACAACAAGGATCTACTATAGAGCACAGGGAACTATATTCAATATCCTGTAATAGCCTATAATGAAAAAGAATACAAAAAAGAATATATATGTATAACTGAATCCCTATGCTGTACACCAGAAACTAACACAACACTGTAAATTAATTATACGTCAATTAAAAAAAAAACAAGGAGTTCCTGGGACTAAGGAAAGGGCCACCAGGAGCCTGTATCCCCTTCCAGATGATGCCTTAAGACCCCCAGTCCATATGGCCCCTGCGCATTTCCAAGTCTCTTTCCTGCCCATCCCTCTCAGGCCAAAAGGCACCTGTGTAGGGGTGGGGTGGGGCCGGCAGAACGTGCCTGGGACCTGGGACGTCTATGCATAAGCGTCTGAGTGTCCTACTGATGGGGGACAGAACTGCCATGGGAGGGAGGGGGCCGGACCCGGCCGAGGGTCTACTTGCCTTCCTGTCCTGGGTTCTGCAAAGACCAGGGGCAAGCCTGTCAGCCTGAACCAATTAGCCGAATGCTCCTTACCTCTACCAGCTTTGGGTCCAGGCAGAAGAGCATAGGTCACCAACGCTTATCGACCATCGCTGGAAAAGTAAGCACATGCCGAAGCGACCGTAAGTCAACAGCGGTCCCTTCGTAAGTAAGGACAGCTCCCGGGTGGGACTGGTTCTGTCCTCTTCTAAACGCAATCCTTTTGACCAAGTGCAAACCGAGTGGCTTTAACCCCTAATTTTCCTTTTCAACCTGTGATATCTTTTAGGCTCAACTGTCTCAGGCCTTAAATGGCGTTTCCGATAAGGCAAAAGAAGCCAAGGAGTTTCTAGTCCAGCTGAAAAACATCCTGCAGCAGATCCAGGTGAGCATGGCTCCAGCTGGGAGGGGAGTCTGTGCAGGACGCCTGTATACGAGATGTGCCGGAGGAGAGGAAAAGTCCCGCGGCAGGAATTTTTCAGGGTTAAAGATGAGAAGGCTTAATTGTCCCACTGCCTAGCCTCGGATGTTGCAGACAACACACACTCACTCCATGGACACTCACGTGACATCTGAGAGGAAAGGGATTTCACGTGAACTCAGAGAGAACCATAGAATGAGAGCTGGACAGAAATAACGCAGCGTCCAGAATGTACGCGGTATCTCCATACAGTGCTTTTGTTCCAGTATGTCAAAATTTCACAGCATCATTTATAAGTGTACGTATTCACCGAGCATCCATGCTGTATCGCATACTGAGCCCACGACAGGTCAGCAAGGCGCAGTCCCTGGCCCCAGGAGCTCCGCCTGTCGGGGAGAGAGCGCACACCATGTGCTCTGTCTGAACGCACGGATCATGAACCCATAAACTGCTGCAGTGTCTGGATGGAGGAAAGGGACTGAGGGCACTGAATTCTTAATAAGCCAGTAAAAACTGTTCTTCTTGATAAGTCGAAGTGCAGAGTTCAGCCAGCAGGCATTTCCAGTCGTGTGGCTGATGTATTGGGGCGCCAGATGCATTCGTTCGCTGGGTGGGGCTGCTATAAGGAAGCACCATAGATTGAGTGGCTTCAACAAGAGGAACTTTTTATCTCCCGGCTCCAGGGGCTGGAAGTTCAGGATCAAGGTGTCGGCAGGTTGGACCCTCCTGAGGCCGCTCTCCTTGGCTTGTCGCCAGCCGTCTTCTCCCTGTGTCCTCACATGGTCCTCCCTCTGTGCCTGTCTGTGTCCTCATCTCCTCCTATAAGGACACGGTCATACTGGATGGGAGCCCAGCCTAGTGACCTCGTTAACTTATCTCTCTAAAAGCCCCGGCTCCCAGCACAGCCCCATTCCGAGGTCACGTGGGTTAGGGCTTCAGCTATGAACTTGGGGCAGGGTGGGGAAGGCCACACGAAGCCCATGACATGAGGTCTGAGTCCGTGCTGATCTTA